CAAGTGCTGGGATTAAAGGCGTGTGCCACCACGTCCAGCCAGGCTCAGGATTTTTTTTATTCTTAGAAGATTTCTTTAGAGTCATTCTCTGTATGTGTATATATGGATACTATACTTTTAGACTTCAGAGAAAAACATGGGTGAAAAGTAGAGAGAGCTAGGCACAAGTTCACACTCACACTTTTGGCCTTCTCTAAGTACTTTTTATACCGTTCTTCCATTTGCTTCATTTCCTCTTCCTTCTTCTGTAAAGCTTCTTGCAATTCTTCAATCCTTAAGGCTGCAAATCTAAGATAGGTGCAAAATTTTTTGTTTGTTTTTGAGATGGGGTTCCCTGTAGCCCCAGCTGGTCTGAAATTCCCTATGTAGACCAGGCTGGCTTTGATCTCACAGAGATCTGCCAGCCTCTGCATGCTGGGATTAAAGGTGTGCCACCACGCCTGGCTATACTATATTTTTAAAATAGTTAGATGTTGCATAAATTTTACTAAGACTTAAAAAAAGAAAGAATGACATTTCCCTTCCATAAAAACAAATAAGGTCAAGTATCTACTAATTTACGTATAATTACACCACAGTGCAAGTATGGCTAACTTACACATGATTACACTGAAAATATCCAGTTTCACATAACATTCACTGTAACTCATAGAGAAAATTTCATAAATTAGTACATTAAGATGTAAGAAAAATTATTTTTTAAAAAGGATTTGTTATCACTTTAATTATGTGAGTGCCTATGCATAGGTGTGTGCCTGTGCATGGTATGTGTATATGTGTGCCTGTGCATGGGTATGTGTATGTATGGTATGTGCATGTGAGTGCCTGTGCATGGGTTTGTGCATGTGAGTGCCTGTGCATGGGTATGTACATGTGTGTGCCTGTGCATGGGTATGTGCATGTGAGTGCCTGTGCATGGTATGTGCATGTGAGTGCCTGTGTATGGTATGTGCATGTGAGTGCAGGTATCATGTCAGCAGACACCCAAGGTATTGGATCCACTGGAGCTAGAATTACAGGCAGTTATGAGGTAACCAATACAGATGCTGGGAACCAAACTCTGGTCCTCGGGAAGAGCAGGAAGCACTCTGAACCACGGAGTCATTTCTATAGCATCCAGGAAACTATTTTTTATATAAGATTAAAAAAATTTATATATGTGTCTGTGAGTGTATGCTGTGTGTGGGCATGTGTAAGTGTGTGCACCCACAGAGGCCAGAGGGGGGCATTAGATCCCCTGGAGCTGAGTTATAGGAGGTTGTGAGCAGCCTGATGTGTGTTCTGGGAACCAAACTCTTGTCCTCAGGAAGAACAGAAGTGCTCTGAACCACTGAGCCAACTAGTCACCTAAGGAAAAATTTTAATTTCTAGAATAGCTAAAAGGTGTATTTCAAAAAGAAACAAATTGCATAAACTTATTATCTCTAGGATAATGAATGGCTAATCATGCTGATTAGAAAAAACTTACAGCTGTTGTTAAATCTTGGTTCAAGATCTTCAATAATGGCTCTCTTTTTCTGCAATTCATTGTTGGCTTCATGCAGCTTCTCTCTGTAACAAAATATATGATTACGTCACCACTCTTGATTTTGTATGCGCTTCCCTATCTATGCTGGAGACCAAATCTAGTGCCCTATACATGTCATACAAGTTCTTTTTCACTTAGACCTTGTTTCTGTACAACCCCCCCCAAACTAAAAATTCATTATATATGGAATACATTTGCATAGAACACAAGGGCTGCCAGGCGTGGTGGTGCACGCCTTTAGGCCTGGTACTTGGGAGACAGATCTCTATGAGTTCAAGGCCAGCCTCATCCACAAAGTGAATTCCAGGCCAGCTGGGGCTACAGGGAGACCCTATCTCAAAAAGGCCCCCCCCAAATAAAAACAAAAACAAAAACAAAAAAACCCCCCAAAACTTATGATATATACAGGCACATGAATAGAGCTCACAAAATAATGCTGAACAAAAGAAGTCAGGCATTAATGCTGTATGACTCTGTTTATGCCAAATAGTGCCGAAACTAACAAAAAGTGGTAAGGATTAGCATGGTGGCTAGTGAAGTGATACAATT